TCAAGACACTAGTAGGCAATTCCAACAGTAAAAGGCTGAGTTAGGAATTAAAATTTGAAGCCAAGCCGGAACACATAACCATCCCTGCTGAAGTGATGTTAGAAAAATAAATCTAATTACACTAAGGCTAGAATTAAAAGCTTCTGGTCATCTGACAGTTCATTATCACAGAAAGTAATCATATAATAACTATAGCTAATCCATATGCATTTTCCTCATTTTAAAACAGAGCAATAGATTATTTTTACTCCACATCAGCTAAACGTAACTTATGCCTCAAACTTCACATGACTGAGAAGAGGAACACAACTAACTTGAGAGCCCATACATTCATTTCTGAAAGTGACTTTGTTTAAAGGAAACAGGCATGGAAATTCCCTGAAAGCTACCCTATCTCCAATGAAATTCTCACAGTTCCTTCAGAGAAGGGAAGGAAAAAATAAATGCAATATTTCTATAGCAACAGTTTAAAACATGCAGCACCTTTTATATTTATTTTGTTCTTTCTTTGTGACTTAGTCAAGATATTTAACACAACTATTTCTGCCATGCTAAAATCTTCATTAACAGTGACAAAGAAATATATTACCATGTTCTAAATTTAAAAATAGTTAAAAGCTGAATACATTAGTCTTGTGAACATTCAGAACTGTAACATTTTTCCTTCATCCACATTTTTCATTATGAAACTATATAGACTGAGCAACAGGGCTGATGTTGTAACAGCGATTTCCTCCATTTACGTATTGGTTTAATGTTTGTTTTAATTTATATTACAAAATTAATGCTCACAGCTTCTGATGCAGAAAGCTGCCATAACCATTCACTAACAAATCTTAATCTAGATACTAAAGCATCAGAGTTGAAATACAGAATTTGGAACCAGAAAATTAATTCTATTATCCATTACATTACAAACACTGATCATTCTCATGTTAGAAATAACATCAGAATGTTCGGAAGTAAAAATCAAGATAATAATCTAGAGTTTATAGGTTTAGCTCATGGGTAATACTAAAATTCTTTAAAATTCTCAAACAGAAATTATGATAAATATAAGGCATTCTTGTTTCTTCCCCATGATGAGCACACAGCTCACAATGACACATTTATCCTCCATGTCAACACATTTCCAGGGTAGTTCTCATTACTGTTTCATGACCCATGTTCATGCTTTGCACACAATAAGCATATAACAAAAAAAGATTTCATAAATAAGGACTCATATCCTAGTCAGAAGTCAAATAGTGCCCACGAAAAACTGTTGGTTAGGTCCTTTCTGTCCAGATTCCTACTGCTGTTATATGTTTGAGAGAGAGTGAAAGCCAGTGCTTACATGTGAGCAGTTTTCAAGAGTTTCCATATATAGTCAGTATTACAAACAGTTATTTTTATAGCAGCACTGAACTGACTTTTCAATATATACAGAGGGTGTTTTCTGCTTACAGAAATTATTCTGTTATTCTACCTTGTACTTCCTTCCAATCTTAGCTCTCCTCCCACTCACGGTCTTGCTCCACACAACAACAGAAAGAGCCACGCCAGTGTAAGGCCAGCCTGGGACTACAGTTCACAGAATACCAGTTTGGAAGGGACCCCAAGGATCATTTGGCCCAACCTTTCCTGGAAAAAGCACAGTCTAGACAAGATGGCCCAGGACCCTCTCCAGCTGTGTTTTACACGTATCCAGTGTTGGGGAAACCAACAGTTTCCTGGGAAGACTGATTATTCCTTCAGATGATTGCTCCTATTGTGAAAAATTTTCCTCTCACATCCCACTGGAATATCCCCAGGAATAACTGGTACCCATCACCTCTCATCTTTTCTATAGGACTCCTTGCAAAAGGGAGGCTCCATCTTCTTTGTAGCCACCCTTTAAATATAGGAACGTGCTGTTAATTAGATTAGTGCTCCAGTAACAGTTTCTACCAAACTAACCCAAACCTCTATTTTATAAAGAGGCTCTTTTTATACTGATCATACAGTTTTTTACACTTCCCTGTAGCTGCTTCATTGGTAAAGAAGACTTATGAAATGTATAATCTCAAGGGTTTTGTTAGGAACATACAGCTAGAGTATGCATTTCAGTACTCAAATCTCCAAGTCTATTTATTCCCCCATCATTATTAAAATAAACTGATAGGATCTATGAGAACATTAGAAAGGGTCTGCAATTTCTTGTATTTCAACACCAACTTTTGAAAACTAAGCCAGGGCACATCAGCTACATTAACAGGTTTATTGTAGCACTCATTTTGAAGTCAGACGAAAGGAATCAAAACAATATCTAGTTTCAGCTTCCATAAAATTCCAACCTAAAACGTTAAAAAAAAAAACCCAAAAAACAAACCATGGATTATATATCAGATTCACTAAAACTATCCACATTTAGTTAAAAAATCAGCATAATGCAAATATTTTTGAATGTGTATTTTTAAAGATAATTGCCTTCAACAGCAGGAGATGGCAGGTCCAACACCCACTGAAATTAATTCTAAAATAGCTAAAACGTGGTATAGCATTTGCTCCTTGCAACATTTAATTTCTACAGCTTTAGATTTTTCCATGCTCCTATAAAATATGGTCTTTCACCAGCTGTAATGTGCCATCCAGTTCTTCTGCATGCTAGAAAAATCTAAGGAGCTAAATCAAGGCAACCAAGATTTTGACACAATTCTGATGTTATTACCTAAACACTACAGTTTCAGGTAAATACTGGCAAACAAGGCCATATTCCTGAGAGTTATTCAATGTGGAGGCTTCTTGAAGCAAGAGATCTCTCCTTGAAGAACATCATGCCAGAAGTACAAAGAGGGAGATTTTCTTTCCTACTGCCAGATGAGCAAAATGAGAGAAATTTTGAACACCCACACAACTAGAGGTAGTATTTAAGTCTGCACAATAGCAAAGGCCAATACTTTTCTTATTCAATCCACCTATTAAAAATGGCACTTCGTGCTTCTACTACACACATGTATTCTATAAAAAGCTTGGTTTTTTTTCCATCAACTGCCCATCTTTTTGCTGTTAAAAGCACACACACTAAGACAAGAACAATCTTAATGATCACACGGTTTTAGGCAAACTCATAAAAAGAGTACCTGAAAATGCTAAATTTGGACACACACCACATCTGGGAACTAAATAGTTAAGTGTAGACACAGACAGTAAAATAAAGTGGGATTTGTAGACTGTACTAGCCAAGGAGCCAGAATCAGCTGGCCACATACAACTTGATCTTTCATTACATTGGAAGCTGGTGGTGCTTAACAATTCCCTGAAAAAAAGCAGAGAGGCATGAGGAAAACAAAAGAAACTAAGAGGACAATTTTAAACTTCTCTCATGCAATACTGCAGAGGCACTTGTGATCTGCATTTATCAGCATGCCAATGGATTTTCCCAGCCCGCCTCTGTCGTACATTCTCTATTTGAGATCTTGCAAAGCTTTACTAGATAAACATGTATTAGTAATAAATGATTCTTCCAGATGTGACCGTGACTAATGTATTACCATCCTGACGAGCCTACTGAGTACAAATCAGGTAATAGCTTCCCTCGCCCGAGGCACAGCAGCCAGGAATATGCACAATCACTACTAATTTCACCATGGCAGTGGCAGGCTGTTGCTGCCTCAGCTACCTGCCGCAGCCATGGTCGGCACTGCACGATGCAGACAGGAGGAGGATCTCTGCGAGCAAGGCTGGAGTAGTTCAGCAACAGCGTGCAGAGCCCTCGCGTTCATAAAGAGAACGGAACAGGAGCTCAGCTCCTTGCTCCTCCAGCCCTAGAAAAGGCATTGCTGCAGACGCACAAAACCCCTGCTTGAAAAAAATCCTTTCGCCTTCCATATGCTCCAAGGACAGCAACCGAGGTTTCCCTGCTCACCCGCCAATATAAAAGATGAAAGCTGAGAGCAGAAGCAAGGGAACAGCCCAGCGATGGGAATCCCGGCATCCCTCATCTTCCTAGCGGCTCGAGGTGAGGAACAGCCTTCTCTCCTGGGTGTTGCCCCTCTGATGCTCTCCATCACCACCTGCCTACCTTGGAACAACTAGTACGTTTTCTTACAACCGGCACCGACAATGCATGAGCCCAGCAACAGGGTGACTGATTAAAAAAATAAAACAAAACGACAACAAAAAAAACCAAACCACCCAAAACCACACACAAAAAAAAACCCCAAATCCACCCAACAGAGAAACACTGCCTCCCCCAAATCATAATAATCTAAGGAGCATCTTTTTTAGAAAAAGCCCTAAGCCCTTACAGTGCGACGGAAGAAGGTATTTAGGGAGGAAGCGGGGAGAGCTCGCGCAAGACAAGGCACACGGGCGGAATCCCGCGGGCGGAATCCCACGGGCGGCCGCTCCCCCGCCCCGCGGCACCACCAGGGGACCGAGGCGGCCGCGCCCGCCGGCGCTGCCCCCGCCGAGAGGGGCGGCCGGGGACCCGCGCCCCGCCGGACCCCGCCGGGCGCCGCAGCCTCGCCCCCGGGCCCCTCCCGGCTCCTCGGGCGCACCTGGGCTGGGAGCGGAGCCGGGCGCAGACACCGCAGCCCCAGCGGGATGGGAGGAGGGCGGCAGGCGGCCGCCCGCGGCGGCTGGGGAATCACGGCTGGCCGAGAGGGACAGACAGGGAGCCGAGGGAAGGGGGTGAGGCGCGGGGTTGCCTCGCCGCAGTAGCGGCAAGAGCCCGGCAGCCGGGCGGTGACAGGTGAGGGCGGCGGGGGGCACGGGGCGAGCTCCCGGCGCACTGCCCTACCTGCGCGCTGCCGCTGCTGCCGCTGCTCCCGCCCGCCGCCGCCGCCCCCTCGCTGCGCTCCCCCGCCCGCCGCGCTCAGCTCAGCTCAGCCCACCCCGCTGCCCGCAGGTCCCGCCCCCAGCCCGCACTGACGTCTCCGCCCACCAATAGCCGAGTAGCGAGGTGTCCCAGACCACGCCCATGCCGCCTTGGCCAATAGCAGCTCGCCGTGGCCCGTGTCCCGCCCCTGGCCCCGCCCCGCCCGGGGCCGGCTCGGTGGCGGCGCTGGTGCCGCGCAGCGGGCGCGGCCGCGTCCCTGAGGGTCGCGCTGGGCGGTCCCGGTCGCAGCCCCGGTCATAGGCTCGGTCATGGGGGACGTGGGGGACACCTCCGCAGGTGAAGGGGCAGGGGCCAGCCCTCGGCAGCAGCGCACGGCTGTGAGGGATGTGTCCTTCCCTGACAGGGAGGGGGCAGGGGGCTTTTCGTGCGGGGGATTCCGCGGAACTGATGAGCTTCCGCTTTTTATTTTTTTTAATTTCTTTTTTATTTTTTTGGCATGGAAACTGGTCCCCGCCTCCGGCGCGCAGAGCCGTTTGTCACCCGGGTGCGGGGCGGGGAGGTGGGAGAAGCGCCGCGGGAGCTGCTGCTGCTCCTGCTGGATGGGTGGAGAGAAGGAGAGCGGCTGGAGAGAAGGGAATGTTAAAAATCAGTGTCTCCGGAGAAAATGCCTCCAGCCCTTAAGCATTTCTCCATCCTTTTTTACAAAACTCTCATCTGGGCTTTCAGAATCTGTGGCTGGCGCCTGCAAGGCTTTCACCTTTAGCTTTGCTCACACATAATAACAGTTTTAAACTAAAAGCCACTTTCCAGCCGACATCAAGTATCAAATGCATCACGGCAAAATGTAGCTCTGCAAGTTATGGATGCTTGAACGCGACTCCCATTTTCTTGGTATGCTTCAATGGTTATTTAAATTAGAAAAATATTATGAAGCCCAGTGGACATAACATGCGGCAGAATTCAGCAATGGTTGAGTATTGCAACCAAAATTATATTTCTTCTTTAAGAATATATACCCTAGAAAAATCTGCACAGACAGATAGCAGAATTTAAGGCATTGCAGTGCATAAAAATCAGGCATCTCATTTTCGTTTGTTGTTCCACACAGACTGCTTCATGAGCCTTGGGGCACTGAAGTGTTTTAGTTTGGATCAGAGATGCACTTTTGAAGTAAATGCTGTCATCATCTCTGCTAACAGTGCTGTAATTCAGAGTGTGGAGTGGTGTTGGAGTGCATGAAATAGATCCCTTTTGTATAAAGCTAAACTAATGCGTTCCAGCCACAAATGAGCACTGGGTAGGACTCAAACTGAGCTAGTCAAACCCCAGGAACCCCTGAGGTGAGTACAGCTCAGAGATCAGGCTCTCAGCACCAGCAGCTGCACTCCACAGGTCTGTTAGAGCTTGGTGCTTGCCAGTGAAGTTGGAGATTTGGAGCTTTGTAGTTCAGATGGAAGGTCCCAGGGGATTTCTAGTGTAACATCTGATTCCTGGTTCACAGCTGGCAGTCAACTGATACCTAAAAACTTTGATGCTTAAAAGTCTGCCGGAACTCCTAGTCCATGTATGGATCATCCCATATTCTTGTGTCAGGAGTACATCACATCATCCACAGCTATAAAGATAACTTGAACTGAGGTAAGAAATGTGCTACCACTGCTGCTGATTCAGATATTGTCAATGGCTTTTGTGGTCCTTATTAATCTCCCTACACCTGCAACAGATTCCAGGATAGAAAGCAGTGGTGCTGCAAGTTTAAAATTAAGATAAATGACTGGGTAGTGGTTTAATGATTAAAAATAACTGAATGAACTTCCAATAACATATGTTAGCAATGAAAACATTTTTTCCTATCAGCGTATCTTGTAATTTTAATATGAGGCCAGATTGTAAGAAATGTAGCACACATAAGTTTTTGTAAGAAAGCATAGAGAGAGCCACTGAGGTAGCAAAATCAGAGCTGAGAGATTATTTTTCTTACAACATACACAAATTTCTTTTTCTTGCAGTGCTTCTCACATGCAACCAGTTTCATGCACTAACATGATGTAGTTATTCCTTTTACTGAGATCTGTCTACTTTTGGAAGGTGTGTGTGAGAGAAATATGTTATTTGATAGTTAAGACACTTTCTTATAAACTTTAATCTTGAGGAGCTTAACTGTAGACAGCAGTCCATAATTTTACATGTCTGAGATCAAACATCATAGGTCACTTGTCTTCTAGGTTACTTCCATATTCATCATTGTATTTTTTGCCCTCATTTTGTGGTTGTAACATAAATGTTAGAATACAACAAATATTTGTTTACTGTCTCCAAAACTATAAGGCTAATTTAATTCAGTTATAAAGATGGAATTTTCTAATGTGAATGCTTCAAATCAGGCATGATGTGGAGGCCAAATCCTTTTTTACTGACACATCTGTTATAGATGTTTTGTTTTGGCAAGCTAGACTACATTTCATAAAGTCACTAAAACAAAATATAGGAAAAAATATGTTTTACCAGGTGAAGCAATCATATATGACTCTGAATACAAATAAGCAGGTCTCATTCCTAACAAGATGTCTGTTTTTAGACAAACTTCCTGTTAAAAAGGGGGAAACACCCAAGTTCCCTAAGAGCCACCTAAGTGTTTTCTCCAGGAACTCCTAAAGGAATTGTGGAGTGATGAAGGACAGAAGCAAACACCTGAAGGCAGCAGCCAGATTGTCTTGACTTCCCCTTTTGGTCCCAGACACTACCTGCCTCAATGTCAGGCTGGGTCTCCTGTGCAGATCAGAGCAGTCTGATCTGTTCTGCTGGAAATGGCAAGAAGTGCCAAGTTCTACACGTGTCCTACTTCTCTGGAGCACCTGTGAGTCACCACTTCAGCTGGGTGCAAAGGCAGCTCCTGGTTTGGTGGCCAATCAATGTCATAGAGCCTGGAAGGAGAGACCTGCTTACCCACTGCATCTGTATTTTCACTGATGCTAAGAGCCAAGTAGGACTAAGTTTGATGTAAACATAACTGGAAGTGAGAGACAAGGGGACATTGAGTAATGAGCATTAGTTTAGTCAGGTATGAATGTATATAAATGGGCCAAGATACTATCATGGCATTAGAAGAGCCTTTGAAAGGGCAAAAATCCATGGGTTCTTAGCTGCAAAGTGCAGAAATTGGCACATGGATAGTAGCAGAATATTAATTTCTTCTTTCTTGCAATGACATTTCATTACACGCAGTAGAAAGAAAAACCATGAAATAGTCAATAGATATTGTTTCTTTCCTAAGGTCTTAAGAGAAAACAGTGTAACAAAAGGGAGTGATACTGGTTTCATTATTGTTCTCAACAAACTGGCTGTTGCTTTCCTGGGAACCAAGCTCTCAGTTGTGCAATCAGTAGTTTAAAAATAATTTTATGGTGAATTTCCTGTACAGTGTTGCACTTTTAATACAGGCAATAGTCACAATTCTCAGGTGGCAGAGTCTGCACTGACTGCATCCTTTTACAAAACTTTTCCTAAAATGTATATTTTAAAATGTGTAATTTGCAAGTATTGCTCTTGATCGTTTCATTTTGAAGATATGGCTCATGATCAAAGAGCTGTGGCTTTATTCCTGAGTGCACAATCATTTCTATGCAAGGACTACAAATCAATTCTTTCTTCCTTCATTTGGTGGGCGATGCAACCAAAATGGCAAGTGGTTCACTCCACAAGATTTTCCTGCTGTGGGTGGGGTGTGTGTGCTGGTAGGGATGAGGGTTTTCTGCAGATCCCTGAGACAGAAATACAAGCAGCTCTACCCAGCGCTTCTAAGCTAGATGAAGGAGAGCAGGAAAGTAAAAGAAGAAATAGTACTTGGTCTTTAAGAAGTAGTCTTACTGTCTTCTTTAACAAGACTTGTTTAGGCTATGAAAAGTACCAGTGATCTAGAGCTTACCTCCTCTCTGCCTCTTAGTTTAAAAATAGGTTTTCTGTGCTTCTTAACCACCTGCTGTATTCTCTCCCTATGCATTAGCACTGCCCTTTCTGCTGGCTTCCTAAACATACGTGGGTAGATCGCAAGATACACATTCTGCTTTTACAGAGGCAGGACTCAGCCTAATTATAACCTGCAAGATCAGAATGTGACTGTTTTGACTTGCAGAAGCAAAGATGAATAACTGAGTTGTTGGCATTTAATTTTAGATATTCTGAATTCAGTCGTCTTTTTACTGTAGTTTATTGTACTTATGACAGTTCTAATACCTGAAGAAAATTACCTATATGTGCAAGTGATCATTTGCATTGTATTTTCCAATGAAGTAAATTGACTTTTAGCAAAGTAAAAACAGTTTTGCTGTTCTTTTTTAAATCTAAAATCGGTGTCTTTTTGTTATTTTTATCAGACTACAGTAATTTAGACAATCTGACATTTCAAGAGCTGTACATCTTTATTTCAACATTAATGACCGGTTGTGGTTAATGGATTTAATTCAACCTAATATCTCTTACTGTGTGTAATAGGCACCTTCAGTGTGTACATAGGTAGCTTTGCCCATGATGTATTTCATCCTTGAGCATAATTTATAGTTCTATGTCAGCATTTGGTTGGAACAAGACGGGAGTAAGATGACATGATTGCAGGGTGGCTTTCTGCTGTGGTAGTCTGTGTGTAAAGCTCTTGAGGGCAATTCCTGGTTGTCTAGACCCTTCAATGCTGCGGTCCTCACCTTCATCTCAGAACAATGGTACTGACATATATCATTACAGACTCGCACATCACTTTGTTTTCCACCTATTTTTCCCCCATGGAGCTCTGTGTCCCTAGCAATGATGTCAGAATGAATGCCCCTATGGTGTCCCTAGCAATGATGACAGATTAGATAGGATAACTCACATATTTTTGTAGTGATTATTTTCTTAAAATCAGTCCCATTTTCAGAACATATGTAGCTTTACATAAAGTTTCCCAAACATGTCCCTTTCATTATATTTAAATGCTATACTTTCCTTTACTGTCTGACTTCTTCTTACTCCTTTCTCTCTTGATTGCATTTAACCTATGTAGTTACTATTGTTTTCAACCATACCAGCAGTGTCCCTCATTTGAGGGTTCTTTTGACCTAATTTTTAAGAGACAATGTTTCCATATAAAAGAAGAATCACTCTTCCTTCTGTAAGAAATAGAATTTGTTAATTGTCTTACTAAGCCAAGCTGCATGGAGAGTCCATGCTTCTACATTTAATGTCTGTGTACACAATCAAAAAACTTCAGCTAGGTTGATGTACCATTAAATGTAAACTCCAATTAAATAAAAAATATAACTTTGTTTAAATGTATTTTTAGTAAGGGGAAAAAATGTGTAGGTGTTTTTGGAGCCTGACATACAAAAGGTTATGTTCTGAAATCTGAATTTAAATATAGCAGAGGAAGAGGGGTTGGACAACAGTATCAATGCAGCTGAGATGTTTCGATTTTTATTTATTGTAACATGTATTATCATCAAAATTTTTCTTAAATAGAGTCTTACTCTTGGGGAGAATTCTTATGTGGATGGATCAGGTTTCATACAAACACGAAATAATAGAATCATCCTTGCTTCCCCCTGCCTTATAATTCAAGGGTTCATAGTACGAGACCATTGGGAAAGGATGAAGTAGTTCACACACACGATAGACAGTTGGCTAGATGTATCCAAATTTGTAGCATCATGGCAAAGGTGAACCTCGAAGAGAGGTTTTTGAGGAAAACACTGAAGTGGCTTTCCTGATGTTTATGAGGAACTCAGTAAGAACACACAGAAGCACACAGGAGATAACATGGATGTGCATACCTGAATTTTTAACAAGCAGATAATATCTACCATCCTGGGTAGGGTGCATGTGAGAGCTTGGGAGGTGATATAGTGGAGACAAACTGTAAATGGACTTCAAAATGAAGACAGTGTATCCTAGGGCTGTAAAGATGGAGGGAACAAAGAGAGGGTTGTAGGAGTGGAAGATTTAGAACTTGCCATTTCCCATAGTGATGATGAATTATTAAGGTAGTTGGTGGTAAGGGTAAGAAAACAGATGTTGCAGCAATAAATGTGTGGTATAATGAAAATTTGGATGAGTTTTAAGTATGCATATAAATGCAAAAACCCTTCTACTGGAGATGTTAGAAAAAAGTCTTGTTAGGATTTCAGCATAATTTAGCTATGAAAAAAAGATGGAGGTGGAAAGTGCAGATAAGTGGCAGGCTAGATATGATTTGTCATGGTGACTTGCAAAGGAGATGCAACTGAAACTGCTGTTTTAAACACATCCTTTTTGGGGTCAGGTCCCTGGAGAACAAACCTGAGCCAAAATTTCTGAGGCTTTCCTTTGAATAAAAACAGTCAGATCTGCAGTGAAGAGATGAATATTCAAAATAATAATTAAATCATCGTAGGGTCACATTGTCATAAATACTGGAGGTGGGTTTTGAAAGAACGCCAAGTGAAACGAAGTGGTAATGGATACACGCACACGGAGAGAAAATAACAACAACAAAAAAAAATTCATGGAAACTTAAGAAGGACAAGGTTCCAGTAATGAATTGTTATTTTACAACTTTAGCTCAGTTCAAAACCAGTAACAGTCAAAGGTAAAAGCAGATTATGTTGTGTCTAAGGGGAGAAACCTAGTTT